CAGGAACAACACCCACAGGTGTTCACTCCCTCTTGCAATATCCACACATCCTTAAATCTAATGGCAGAAACGATGCCCAAAGCACAGGACTGTGATCTCCGGCCTTACAACACCCCTTGAAGGTGGTCACACTGTATTTCCAGTGGAATTCTGACACACGGCCCAAAGCCACAATGAAAATCCTCAGCTCTTACGTCCATTATCATTTTGCAGTTTTTGCACGGTCCGATCTGGCTGAACAGCTGGAGGATCAGGGCTTCGGTCACATCTCTCGACAGATTCCCCACGTATCTACAGGAGCAAACACAAAGTTAGAAGCTGCTGGGACACTCTAACAGCTTGTTTAGCAAGCGCACTACACAACATTTAGGTAGTTCCTTTAAAAAAAAAGGTTTTATTGCTGAAAACTGTCTGAAAAAACCAAGGGCAACTGAGTTCAAGTGTGGGCATTGCCCTGTCCTCCTCCATTTGAGGATCAGCCTCCTCGAGCAGAAACAGAACCCAAACCCCTGCTCTGATGTGGGATTTTGGCATTTACAGCGATGAAGACCCATGGGTGGGTTGTGCTGTTGTTGTTTTGAAGCCCAAATCACGGGATTCTTTTTAAAAAAAGCACCCAGAGAAACCTCAGCTCCAGAGGTGTGGCCGCAGCTCTCCGCAGAGGAACGTTACGTGGCAAAGCAAACCTCTGCAACGAGAACCGCAGCCAAAACGCTGCTGCAACCACGTCGCTAAAGCAGCGATCCTCCCCGTCCCGGAGCACGAGTCGCAGAGAAGCTGGAGGAAAACAACAGGGCAGCACAAACTGGGACCTCTCGGGCTCCTTCTGTTGACACAGGGCTGCGAGCAGCCTCCCTGAAGAGACGGACACGCTCCAATATTTGGTTTAGCAGAGAATGGGGCAACAAGACACACGGCCTCTGTTTTACTGTCAGAAATGACCTGGTGAGCTCTGTATTAAGAATTTGGACTATTTTAGGTAGGAGTTGCAATTATACTCCTTTCTAAAACCAAAATGTGCTTTACCAGAGACAGATCATCACAGGCACTCTCAATGAAGCCAGTAACTCCTGCATTTCTGACAGGGTTTAGCACACTTCATTAAGGCAATTCACTTTGTGCTGGGTAAAACCAGGTCATTACACCCCTCCTCAAGTTCAAAAGCGAAACTGCTTCTCCTCTCTCTTATTTTTTAGCATTATCACCGTTTGGATAATGAATAAGCCGAGGCACTAAAGCGATGAGACTCTCACCTTCGGGGTCTAAGTTTATGAACAGTTTATTTGTAACGGGAAGTTTCCTGGACACCGTATCTACGCCTTGACCTTTGCGCTCGCGCTGGATCTTTCACCCCGATAATCAGAAAAGCACCTCCTGAAGCGTTCCCTAACTTAAGGCTGGATTTAGCTGGAAAAAGCAGGATGGAGGTAAGCGATCCCCAACACACCCATGAATCTCTGCCTTCCAAAACGCACCCTCAGAGGACCACGTGCAGCAAGACTTGTGTGTACATACACGTCTACACAGAGGGTGTACGTGTGACTGTGTATGAGATGTTGACCTACGTGCTTTTGCACAGAGGTAAAAACAGATTTGGGCTCCTCGTGCGCAGACGGGGTCAACACATTCCTCAGTGGCCACGCAGAAAAACAGCTTAATATTGTGCAAATTTGGGAGCGTTTTTGTGGTGGTATTTGTCAGCGTAACCTCGGCACCTACAGCTGTGTGCATCTGCAGCCAGCACGTCTGGAGAGGTCTCTCCAGACTCCAACCAAGTCCTGCGATAGGATGGGGAAAACACAGAGCCACGACCTTTGAGCAACAATTCCCTGTTATTTTATATTCTCTAATGATCTCTCTGTGCTACACAGGAGCTATGTGGCCACCTTGACCTTTCCTCGCTGCTGCAGCTGGCACCCGGGCAGGGTCCAGCACACCCGGACCTTGGCCTGGACCGAGATATAACCCAGCGTGAGGTGACCCCACGAACGCGAGCTCTCATTAATGAGTCGGCCGATGTTTCTTTGCACATGAAGGACTTCACTGCAAGGCAAACTACGCAGGCAGCTCCGTTTATTCAGAATATCTGGCTTCTTGAAAATACCAAACCACCGAGCGTTAGCACTCCCGCGCCTTTTCAGACACACAAAATAAACGAGAAGCACACGTACCCCGCAAGCAGCTACGTACTGGTATGAAACATGCAAACAAGAGGTCTCTGTACATTCAAATAACACTGTCTGCCTTGTAAC